CACCTCTCTTCTGATACATGAGGAACATGAAGTGCTGATACCACTAAGAAGGTGGGCAAAAAGTGGGAAGACCATGGGGTGCCCATCTCTCTCTAAGAAAAGTGGTGTGGCATAGCAGAAGGGAAGCATCCAGCCAAACAGTGGCATAAGTGTCCTCTCTCTTGGAGTGAGGTTAGGGTACAGAAGAAACCATGACTACAAATCACATTTCTTGGTGTGGCTGAGCTGTGGACCATGCAAATACACTGCAACGAGCAAAGTTATATCCAGTGCATAACATTCCTGGTACTTACACCTTTGTGTGTTTTAAAAAGTAATCAGGCATTGAGTGAAGGGCAGGGTAAGGGTTGTTGGTGGTGTTTAGAACAGCTTCAGTTCCTGCACACCCAGTCATTGGGTACAACATTTGGGTGACCCAAGTGACAGAAAATGGTCTTTCCTGGTTGGTGGATAGTGGGTTTTTAATCTTCAAACACATGAGTTGGTGCCCTGTCACTAGGATGTGCAAATCAGACAAAGAAATAGGTATCTGGGAATTAAAAAACAGTCTCTGCCAAAGGCACAAATTGGTATTAGTGTCTCATGCAAAGTTTAATTCCTACTCTCTCCTTATTAATGCAGCTGCCAAGCCTTTAACTTTTCAATCCTATGTTCTGCATATGAGACTGTGATGATCTCCACATCACAGGCTGTGTAGCTCAAGCTTGAGTGGGTGTGGGGAGGAAATGGACTGCAGAGTTGAATGCAGATAGGGTATTGTTTTTTTGTTGGATTCATGGATTGATTTTTGTCAAAGGGTCAGGCTGCTCTGGGTGATTTTTTGCATTGGAGTGACCTTAATGGCAAGGTGCCCAGACCTTATGAGTGAATGCCTTTGTGCTGAAAAAATTGAAAATAAAATATAAATATTATGCAACTGCACCTGGAACCCAAGCCTATAAGACGCTGACCACCCAGTTTCCAACTGAAGTTAGTAATTTATCTTTGCCCAAGACCAGACCCCCAGTAATTCTTGTGCCCTTTTATGTGCATATATCCTCAGCCAATTTTAATTTTATTTAATGTTTTAAAATTCCAAATAGTCTTTCAGTAGCAGATTGAGGAACTCAGTGCACTTACTGTAGTAGGAAGGAGAGTAGTTGGGTTTGGGATAACTTTGATGCTTAATGTCACTGTTCCAGTTTCAACACGGACTGTTGCTCTGTCTCTACCAGACAGCAAATTGTCATCTGTTATGTAGATGCGCAAGCTGTAGGCCCAGGTTGTATCCAAACCATTTTCATAGTCAAACCTGGATGCAAGAATCAACCGAGAGCTGTTGGAGCCAGCACTCGGTGAAAAAGTGAAATGGTTATTCACGTTGCCTAGAAGTAAAAGCAAAAATACTCGTGTAAAGACACATATTCAAAATATAGTAAAGAGAACCACTGATTCAGTTGTTTCTGGGTGTTTGTCATTCCCATTGGCAGTTTGTTACTAATTAATTACACAACGATTTTGCTTTATAGTACTGCATTCAAAAACTGCCGTTAGGAATGGAACGCTCTAGTAAGTTTAGCACTGGAGCATTTTATGAAATGGCTGCAGTTACTAGAAGCTGATTGTGTGGACTGTCATGGATAAAATATATTGTAGCTACAGAACTATAAATGAGGAACAAATCCCCCTACTGAGCACACATCTGAGGCAGATGATTTTGAGCTGGAATGCTAGGGGCCATTGCAAGAGACTCTCACAGCAACAAAATGAGTTGGCGTTTGCAACTCTAGGTGAGCTCCTGAGGACCACTTCTAACAAAAACAGCACAGGGCTCCTAGCTCAGGGGAGAGGCCTTTAAGCCCCCTTTATACCCTTCAGAATCTGGATTGCTATGAGCCCCTCTGCGTAGTTTAAAGCAGAGGTGGGCAAAATATGGCCCACCAGGCAATTTAATCTGGCCTGCAGGTGCCCACCAACTAATTGTACCCCA